ATCGATCTTGTAATCCTATTGGTCCGTTTTTTATCAGTTCTTAGGCTCAAATACAAGTACAAAGTACTCTTTCTAAAGTACAAGTACAAGTACCAAGTACACTTCTTCAAGTACAAGTACAACTACCAAGTACTATTCCTCAAGTACAAGTATAGTACTTTTACTTGCAGTACTTGTACTTGTCCTAGCTCTGTCCTACACCGATATAACAAAAATCGAAGTCAAACAAAGCCTTCAACCAGCGTGTTCACACCGGTTATCGGAAGATGTGGGTTCGAGTCCTACTTTGATTTCATGATGTTCTTTGACAAATTGTTCGTATTTGTTAAAACATATCTCTGTGGTTTCCTTTGAATAATTTGACATCGATACAGTCGTGGACAAATGGAAAGATTTCTAATTATTGATTCTTTTATACCTATTTTCAAACTCACACCCTCACACCCTCACCCTCACCCTCACCCTCAAGATAAAATTGAAAAGAAAAGAAAAATATTAATTATCTTGCAAAAATATATATTATAAAATCGTTTTAGTTAGTTGAACAATTACGTGTATTTAAGAAAACATCAATAAGGTTAATTTTATGATCAACACTGATTATATCTTGATAATTATCATTATTTAAATCATAAATAATCAATGAACTTGAACTTTCTAGAATTTCTCTTGAATAAATCATTTGTGTATAAAAAGAACCATTTCCATATCCAAATAAAATATAAATTTGATTAGGATTATTCATATGAAGAATAATATCTAAATTCATATCATTATTAATATCATGTACAACAATCGAATTCAATGTTCCATTCGATTTAATTAAGGTTTTCTTATTTTTTATAAAACTATTATTATGATAATGATATGTAATACATTCGACATCTTTCCAATTATAAATAAAAATAATATCAGATTGATTATTATTATCAAAATCATCAATTACTAGAAAATGATTATTATCGCCGATAGTAGTGAAAAATGGACTTTGAAGGTAAAATGTTCCATTTGCACTTCCAAAATATACATAAATATGTTTAGAGTGTTTATTATATACAACAATATCGAGATAATGATCATTGTTAATATGAGCCACAATTAATCTTGATGAGTACATCGTGTATTCATTAGATAATAAATTTTCTGATGAAAAAGTTCCATTTCCGCGTCCAAACGCTACTCCAACGTTGTTAAATTCGATGGCTATACCTCCAATGTTAGCAACAGATTCGAAAGTCCTAACAATATCCAATATTTTATCATTATTAAGATCACATAAGATTGTATCTTTTGTTCGATAAATCGCTCTCATAGGTGAGTTTTTAATTATTCTTTCGAATGTTCCATTTCCATGACCCAATAAAACCTTTAGATTTTCCTTTGATCCATCATACAATGTAAAAAACACATCATATTTGTTATCATTATTAAAATCAGCAATACGAGGAGCACGTATTCCGCCAATGTTTCCAATTGCCTCCATCGTTAAAGTTTTGAACGTTTTATTACCATTGTTCAATAAAACTGTTAAATCGTCTTGCCATCCAACTTCATATATCAAAAATATATCAGATCGATTATCATTATTAAAATCGGCAACATAAAGTAATTTTATCGATTGAAAATTTAGTAAAGATTCAATCATAAAATTATAAAATGTTCCGTCTCCATTATTGAATGAAACAAATATCGCTCCTTTATCATTCGATTTACAAACATATACAAAATCAACTTGATTATCATTGTTAAAATCACCAGTAAGATTATGAAAAGTGATTTCTTTAAATCCAGAACAAGAAGTATTAGTTGATATTCGTTGAAATTTCGTTCGACAAAGTAATTCTAAATACAAAAAAAAAGAATCTGATCAAATTTTATTTCTTTATATTATCTCTTATTGTCAAAGATATTTTTTATAAACTATATATGTATAATCACTCAAATAAAATTTTCTATTATTTTCAATATTAATATATTTGTTAATTATTTATGAAAAAGAAAAATAACCAATCATTATTTAAAATAGATTTTCTTATAATAATATTTAAGACTTATAAGCACAAAACATATTTTATCTATACAAATTATACTAACTTGTTGTTATTGAAGATATTGTTGATATCACTGTAGTTGTAATTGTTGTTGTTGTTGTTGTTGTTGTAATTATATTTCTATTCGTTATTATTGCAACTTGAAAAAAAAATCATATTATCTATATATTAAATATTTATTATAAAATAATATTCTTACTATTTCGAACATAATAAATTGAAAAACTAATTATAATAATTGTTAGAGATATTAATATTGAGATTATTAAAATTATCTTCGAATAATTTCGAATTGGTAAAATCATCCTTCGTTTAAATAAAACAAATTTAAGATTAAAATAGAAAATAAAAACATTTATGATTTACTCAGATGTTCTATTCGCCTCTGTTTGAATATTTATATTATTTGATGAAGTTATAAGTGAATTGTCAGGATGAACAGATGTTCTTTGCCTTTTTCGTTGATAATAATCATTGATTTCAAATATAATTCGTATTAATTTAGGACAAATCCAAGCTAAAACAAACATTAATCCACCTTGTAGACTAAGAAAAAGTGTAATAATATAAAAAATATTAAATCTTTCATTATAAGTATATGAACATGATGAAGGAGAACATTGATGATAATATAATGAATAATTCGATTTATTTAACCATTGTTGAGTAAATGAATGACTTATTAATTGATTAATAGTTGTATTTGGTGGAAAACGAGTAGATATATTTAAACGATGAGTTGAAATATTATCATAATTTGTATAATTAGAAATAAGATCAAGACATGATTGATTATAAAAACATTCAAGAGTTGATAAATGAAATGATTCACTTGGTAAACATCCCATTTTTAATCCTTCAATTGGAATTTCTGTTGAATTTTCAATAAAAATAGCTTGAGTTGTACAATTTGAAGATAATCCACATGAACAATTATTATCATAAATAATTGCATCTGTATAAGCATATTTCCAAGAAAGAAAAGATACCGAAGAAGTATACTGAAAATTTGTTTCATATGTTGTCATAAAAGCATTTCCATGATTAAAACTTTGAATCATATAAAGAAAACGAGAAAGTAAAATGGGAACATTAGATTTACTTTGCACAATTAAAGTTTCGATACGACGATGAAAATCTTCTTCAGAACGAAGTTCAACAGTAACTAGTAAGGATGTGAGAAATTCTTTAATCGTATTATTAACTGACTGGTTTGATAATCGACATAATTCTTGAAGATATTGTAAATGAGCAGGAAGAAATCGACGATAATCATTTTTTGAATAGACAGAAAAATTCAAAGCAAGTCGATTAATTATACTCGTATGCCATTCTTTTGATACAAATTTACTTAAACAAATCTATGAAGAAAACAAATGAAATTTTCAATATAAATTAATATGAAAAACTTAATTTAATTTTCACCATTACTAAATATCATAGAAATGTTCAATATATATATATATATATATATATGGATGGATGGATAAACAAATGAAATACATGTCGTAAACAGTGATTATCAAAATCATTATTCAATCGACGTTCTTCTTACACAAGAAACTATTCAATGAATTTATATAATCATAAACATATTATTATAGCTTTTCTTCACATTGAACAAATTTATTTTATTTCTTTCTAAAATAATTAAATATTAACTTACTGGATGAAATTCTGGCGTAATTTCAACAAATTTATTGTATGTTGATGCTATTTGTGAACATGAACATTTTAATTTATTTCCATAATCTTTTTGTAATTGTTGATAAGAATTAAATAATGGTTGATCAAATGTTTCTATTACAGTATGCGGTCGAATAGTGGTATAAAAGATAATTATTGTAATACCAATAATAAATAAAAGAATATAGAGACGAGTTGCCCATCGACCATATTGTTTAGCTGTTACTCGATTAATACTACTTCCAAAATTAGATGGCGAAAAAATGTTTAATTCAAGGAATGTTTTTAATAAAAACTTCATCATATTTTGTATTATGACTTTTACTCGATTGAAAAAGCTTTGATCAACTAAAAAATATTTGAAAAATAAATGTGGAAACTTCGGATTTTACCCGAACGTTATGTGTACTCTAAAAAGTGTGTATGAAACTAGAGCTACAGAGCACTCTAACTGTCATATGAAGATTCTACACTGAGCCACAAAACACACGTCCAGGTTGCAGATTCTTCAGAGCCCGACCGGAATCTTCCTATAACGCTACTCTCGACAAAACTTCACCACAACTAGAGGGATTTCCTGCAAAACTCAAACATGCTCTCACAATTTGACACTCGAGAGCCCAAACCATTTCCACGTAACAGCCTTCAAGAAACCCTGTTTACTGTTATAGTATATCATAAAAAGATCACAGAATACTCTCCTATTAAACGTCTTCATGGTCTAAGGGCACCTCCATAGTATATCACATGAGGACCTATGCGTACCCCCATAGTGTAGGACTTCAGGACCTATAGATACCCCCACTATATAAGACTTGAGGATCCATGGGTACCCTCATAGTATAGGAATTGAGGACCCATAGGTACCCTCATAGTATACGACTTGAAGACCCATTGATACCGTTATAGTATAGGACATGACGACCCAAGGGTATCTGCATAGTATAGGACATGAGGACCTATGGATACCCTCACTATATCCCATTCACTACGATGGGGTCCACCGGTGGACCCCACTTTGCATTTCATATTCTAATCTTGAAACACGTTTAATAAGAAAACGGTATAAACCATAAGACGCAGCGCGAAAAGCTCTACAATCCTCATAGTAAAGCTTA